CCCGGCGCGGCTGTCGGAGCGACGGTCGCCGCGTTCCACCGCCGCGAGGCCCTTGCGGCGCCCGAGCCCGCAATGTCGGGCCCCAACGGGGACCTGGGCGTGCCGGTGGAGGCGGGCGCGGAAGGCGAGGACGACGGCTTCGGGGAAGCAGGTGACCCAGGCGGGCTGCTGGGGCGACCTTTGCTTTCTCGGGGGTGCCCTCCTGGGATGGGGAGGCGGGGCCGGGATGGAGCCTTGGAAGGTACCGCAGAGGCCGCTCCAACCCCCCACTCCTGAGTGGGTCGCGAGCTGCAGCCGCCCTCTCGGGGCTCAGGACGCGCACCCTGCAAACCGCAGCGTTTGAACTGTCTGGGCAATCGGCCCCGCTTTCCAGGTGGAAAGCCGCGGCTGCTGCAGGCACTGGCCCTGTAGGACTTGCTTAGCCTCTTCCTTGTGCACCAGTGGAGACCGGACAGCTGAGGGGGCGGGGTCGGTCTTGATTTCACATGGGGGGGGCCTGCTGAGTCAGCACCCCCAGCCACCTTTGCTAGTGTGGCCTGGCACCGAGGCTTGCTTATACCGAGGTTTTCTTATACCGCTGTCCAGTGTCCCCTCCTCCCGCATTGGGGGTTGGGGGGGGAGGGAGAGTGCTAGGGGGTGTGTTACCATCAACTAGCTTTTCAGCCTTCAACCGCAGTTTTCCCACCTGTAAATAGTAATTAGTTTTTCCTGCATTGAGATTAAATGAGAAACTGAAGGGAAAATACAAACATGCAAGTGTTCAGTACATGGTTATTCTCTTTAGTGTAATAAAAACAGTTTATTAACTTAGAGGACAGGATTTCGCAAATCCCGGGTAAGTATGGAGCCTACTCTGTTTGGATTTCAGTCTTCTTGAGTTAGCCTTCATACAGTATACAGTTTGCACACTTGAATTTACATTCAGTGGGTTTTTGGGTATTTACAGGGCTCTGCAGCCATCACAAGTTTTACACTCTCATTCCCCAGGGTCCGTGGGTCAGCAGTAGCTGGCTGGCTTGGCCGGGACTCTGCTGGTGAACAAGGTGTACAGCAGCCATGGTGTTATCAGGGAGGCCCTCCCTGGGTCCCACCTCGTGGGTGTCGGCAGACTCAGGGCAGCAGGGGAGGGAGGAGGGTGTTCCCAGGCAGAAGGCAAAGGCCTAGAACGGGGCAGGAGCCCTTGACATGGAGGAAGCCTGGCCCCGTGGTGTGGACACACCCCAGCCTGCCTCCTCCATCCTGTTTGTCTCTCATGACACACCTTGACTGCAATGACCATCTATTAAGTTATTGTGGCCAGGCTCTGAGTCCTTGATACATTTGATTCTTTCCCACAGCCTAGTTTATATACTGTTTCCAGAAAGATGCAGGAATTTGCTGAGACGGAGCAGAGCTGGGACTGAGATCCAGATGCCCCTCCGCTTCCCATGTCTTTGTCCGACCAGATGGATGACCCTTAGCAGGCCCCTTCCTTCTTGGAACTCTGTTTCCCCATCTGTCCCACAAGGAGGTTCAACTTCAAGATCCAGCAGGGACTTTCTAGGACTCTGCCCTCTAGTGGGGTGCCAATTCTGGGCATGGGTACTCTTCCCGCAGAATGCAGACACTTGCACCCAAATCCCAGGCCCCTCCTCCAGGCCAGCCGCTTCCCCTTTGGTCCCATGCTAGCCGGCTGCTCGCTGAGTGTGTCTGAGTCACCGACTGGCTCAGAGCCAGGTCCTGCAGTGGGCACGGGCCCAGACCTTGGGTCCTAAGGGACACTTGTGTTACTGAGAGGCAGGACAGCCGGGGGGCATGATGGTTTCTTCTGGTGGCTACCAAGGCAGGCTTCTTGGAAGAGGAGGTTTTTTGAGCTGGTCCTTGGATGATCGAAGTGGTTGAGGCATTCTGGGTGGGGGGGACAGCTGAGCACAGAGGGCCGGAAAGTCAGAGGTTCCATTCATTCGTCCATTCACTCGTTCAACAAGTGCTTATTGTGTCACAGTGAGGACATCAGGGAAAAAGCAGTGAAGACAGACCATTCCACCTCCACGGCGCTCTAGACTCGGGTGGAGAGACAGGCCAGCACACAGTGATCACAGCAGCCAATCCGGAAGTGAGGGCCGTGGAGGTGTGAGGAGGGCAAGGGGGTTAGGAAGAACAGGCCGGTTGCCTGTGGACATCCATGCTGAGACTTGAAGGATGCGCGGGAGAGCGGAGGGAAGGAGGCGGAGGAGGACACGGTGCAGCCGGGCAGAGGCACTGCATGTTCAGGGGGCCTGAGGTGGACAAAGGCAGGCGTGAGCGGGCAGGCGAGGCCTGGGGGTGGGACTCCAGGAGGAAGCCTGCTGGGTGCATCTCCTGAGGGCGGGGGGAGCCAGGGAGCCTGGGCTGGGCCTGCTCGGGGACTCAGGCAGTCTAGTGGGCCCAGGCCCTCGCAGCTGAAGGAAGTAGCAGCCAGTCACCATCCTAACCCCAGAAAAAGGTATTATTTCTCCCAAACCTTTCCCTTTTGGTATCCACCCATTTCTCAGAGGTGGAGGGAACTTGCCCAAAGCCCCTGTAGAGGCTGGGGACCATGGTGTCGACGCGGAGTCCGTGAGCCCGGGAGAGGCACGGACCTTGACTGTCCCTTTCCTCCCAGAATATGCCGCCATCAATTCCATGTTGGACCAGATCAACTCCTGCCTGGACCACCTGGAGGAGAAGAACGACCACCTCCATGCCCGCCTCCAGGAGCTGCTCGAGTCCAACCGGCAGGCGCGCCTGGAGTTCCAGCAGCAGCTAGGGGAGGCCCCCGGCGATGCCGGCTCCTAGGCCGCGGGAGCCCCCACCCTGCCTCCCGGGTCAGACTGTGGCCTGAGTCCTCACCCCTGGCTTAGATACTTTCTCAGGGCGGCCCCCGGGGCCCCTGGCGGGCCCGTCTGCATGGCCAGCCCTCTGGCACGCCCCATCATCCAGCATCTCCTGGGGCCAGGGCGGACCTGCAGCCCACCTGCCATGCCTGTCTGCCGAATCCTGGGCACCCCTACTCTGCCCAGGCTTTAAGTGCCCACATTAAATTGGCCTCCAACACCACTTCACCTCTCTCCTCTGTACCTCGGGAGAAGGACTCCAGCGCCCGCCAGAGAGGAACAGGCGGTCACTCACCGCCGGCTCACGGGCCTGGCGGTGGTGCTGGGGTTCCTGGCCTTGAGTTTCTGGACACAAGATGTACAAGTGAGGCCAGGCTCCCTTCTACCTGGATCCCCAGCATGGCTGAGCAGCATGCTGATGCTGTGTGACCCTGAATGATGCACTCAGCCTCTCTGGGTCCCAGGTTTTCACTCAAGTTAGTATCGGGTGCTGCACAGCCTGGGTGGCACCCTCCTGCTTGTGGCCAGGTGCAGGCCCGGTCTGGTCATCTGTCTCTCAGGGTGCTTCCCAGTGGGGAAAGAGCAGACTAAAGAGCTGAGTCAGCTTGAGCGCCATTCGCCGACGAGTTATCACAGGTTGCCTGATGTAAACCCGGTGCAGAATCAGGCCAGCGCCGAGCGCCCCTGTGTTTCCATGGGATCCAGCTGGTGAGGCTAGTACCAGGGTCCACAGCCTGGCCCAGGGTCATCCTGGCTACTTGACCAGAAGCACGACCTCTGCAGGCCACTCGACTGCCAGACCTCAGTTTCTTCGTCTGTAGTTTGGGAGTAACCACCAAGATGTACCCCTAAGTGAGATCTGACTTGAACGTGCTTTCCCAGCCCAGATACGCAGGGGGAAACCCAAGAACACCTGGGGAGACTGTCTTTGGCCTTCTGATTCTGTACCATCCTGCGCCCCAAGAGGCTGGCATGCCCCTTCCCCCTGTCACCCACACAGAAGTGCTGGTGGGGCCTGGCACAGCCAAACCACCTTCTTTTATTGGATTGCGAGCAAAAACACCAACCATCTCAGTCTCCAAGGGCTCCCGGGACGCGCAGCAGGCTGGGGCCGGGGCTCCCACTATCAGTTTCTGCGGCGGGTTGAGCGCCGGGGGGGCGGGAGCTCAGGGGGTGGGGCCGTCACCTTGCTGGAGGCTCTGGCCGAGTCCTGGGTGCTGGGCTGGCTGGGGGGGCGGCCACCAGAGGTGAACAGGGCGGTCAGGGCGTTCCGAGCATTGATGGCACAGCGGCGGCTCACGGGCCTGGTGGTGGGGCTGGGGTTCTTGGCCTTCTTGTATTTCTGGACACAGAGGGCGCAGGTGAGGCAGGGCTGCCTGCTCACCTGTCTTGCACTCCCAGCAGGCTGCGCGCCTTCTCAGCCTCCCAGGCCAGAGCTCGGTCCCTGCACCTCCCAGCCCCACCCAGCTCGGATTCCCTTTGTGGTCCACGCCTCCCTGTGGGGCTGAGGGGGCATCCCCGGGGTGCGGGGAGCATGGGGGCAGTGGGGGTGAGGCCAAGCACAGGCAGGGGGTGGTGTGGAGTCCTGGGCAGCAGGGCAGGCCTGGCTCACCTGCAGGTTCTCAAAGTGGGCCAAGGTTTTGCAGTGGGAGAGCTGTGCCCCCGAGTTGCTGTGGTAGAACTTGTGGCAGATGCGACAGACATAGCCCATCACGGGCACCAGGAAGTCCACGCCTGCAGGACAGCAGGGTCACCAGTTCCCGCCCTGGAGGGGATGCTTGGCTCCCCCACCCCCCGGCAGAAGCAGGATGAGAGGCTAGGCTGGGACTGGGGGCTGGCGGCAGCACCCTAGAGCCTCAGCTGGGGTGGTGGGGCGGGCACTCACCATAGGCCGTGTCGGGGCTGTAGGCCTCGGAGCCTTTCCACTCCTCTATGGAGATGTCTCTGGACCTCACCTGCGAACGTACAGGTGTGGGCCTCGAAGCAGCCACACCTCCCCAGCGCAGGTGGGGGGCCCGGGACACAGCAGCCTCTTGATGCCCGAAGCTCGTTGGTAGGTCGCATTCTCCGAGCCTCCGGGCACTCACCCTGCCTCCCAGAGCGCCTTTCCCAGGCTCTGTCAGTCCCCGCCTCCTCCCCCCCTTCACAGTGGCCGTAATCTGCACCAGGTGTGCCCACGGCTATCCTCTCCTGAGCCCTCTCAACTACTGCATGACTCACTCGCTTCACAGAAGAGGACACGGGCCCGGGGTCACAGCTGCTTTGTGGATAGTAAACCAGCCCCAGGGCCAGGTGGCACTCAGCGGGAGCCCCAAAGTTCCAACCTGCTGCTACAGTCCTCAGCCCAGGGAGTCAGACTCACCCACTGGACGCGAGCGCAGCCAGGCCGGGTCCTGCGGCCCAGCCACGCCAGTCACTGCCTGGCAGTGCCCTCCAGCACTCAGCAGGCAAACACGAGCTGCTGGGAAGGCTACGCACCACCACCCCATCCTGGGCTGCAGCCCGGCCTCGCAGCCCAACTCGGGGCTGTTGGAGCTGGGTGGAGGAAACAGGCCGGGGGCCCTCTGGGAGGCGGGGCGGGGCCAGTGTGCGCAGGCTCAGAGGCAGAGAATGCGCCCGGAACCAAAAGATGTGCCCAAGCTGACGCCACAGCTGACACGCTGGCTCCCAGCACAGTGACCCCCTCAGCGCCCTGGGCTGGAACAGCTGAGCACCCCTGGGGTCCAGCATCACGGCCTGGCCTTGAACAGGTGCTTGGGAAACAGGCTGACACCAGCCCCTCCAGCCCCGTGCTGACGGACAGTGGAACCGAAGTCTCCCTTCCTGGCATCCGAGTCAAGGAGCCCCTGCCAGCAAAGCGCTGGGTACACGTGGCGCAGCATCAGTGCTCGGAAAGATGCTGCTCTGGCCGCCGCCGTCACCGTCAGGACTGACTTTGTGTCACACTGCGTCATGCCCGCCACCCCAGCCGTCGCCGAGCGCCCACACGGGTCAGGACACGGTCACGGGAATGCTGGGGCCTCCTGCCCTGCGGGGGTGAGGCCACCCTGGTGGGAGTCCAGCCGGCAGCCAGCCTCCCGCGTCCCCCACCTGTTTGCAGAATTCCGCCTCCACCTCGATTTCTTCTTCGTCGTCGTCGTCGTCGTCCTCCTCTTCTTCATCGCCCTCAAAGCAGCCCACGGCGTCCACCGTGATGAAGTGGTCCTCGTCTTGGCGGGCCATCTCCTTCTCCAGCATCTTCAGCTGCCCCGGGGAGAGGGCGAGGGTGAGGGCGAGGACTCGGGCAGCCAGGGCAGCCAGAGTGCCACTCCCCAGCCACACTGCACCTCCAGAGACCCAATTCCCCCAGACCTTCTCGGAGCCAGGCTGGGGTGAACCCCAACTTGCTCTGTGGCCTTGGCCTAGGCTCTGTACCGCTCTGGGTCTGCTTCCTCTGAGGGGGCTGGGGTTACCTCCTTGGCTTTGTCCTTGTGCCCCTGGGACTTCACGTGCTCCACAAACTTGCGGGGGGTCTTGAAGTAACGGTTACAAGCGGTGCAGAAAGGTCGCAGGGACTGTTTGGCGATCTGGGGGTGGGGGGTGGGGACAGGCCAAGTGGGGACAGGCAGGCAGCAGCCCCGGGTGCGGCCAGGGGTGCGGGTGAGCCCTCGCCTCCCAGCTGCACGACCGCCACTTCTCGTCAGCTGCCTGTACCCCCGTCTGTACGTGGGCGAACATCCCCTCTCTATGCTGCGGCTACGAGACGGGGCAGCAGATGACCACAGAGACAGGCAGAGCGGACCTTGAGCCCACGGCCAAATGGCCAGCGGATGTGGTGCCCGGCCACATGGGGAAGCTACCCAGGGAAAAAACAGGGAGAAGCCACACTTGGAAGCCCCGGCTCACACAGCCCGACTCCACTCCCACCTGCACCGCCTGCCTGGCCACCACGTGGCGCCTGCACGTGGCCCTCGCACCTTGTGGTCCTGCGTCCTGCGGTGCTGGATCAGGTCCCCCACGTAGTAGACCTGGCAGGTGCTGCACCAGCGTCTGGGCGGAGGCTCCCTGCAGCGACAACCGGAACACGCACGGGTGCTGCCGACTTCCCGCGGGGAGGCCCGAGCCCTCCGGACCTCTGGAGGGGCAGCGGGAGTCCGGCACCTCGTCTAACAGTCTGTTTCGGCAAACTGGCAAAGTGGCTAAGAATCCTTCAACAAGAACGACCCAGGCCGTACTGCAACGGGTGTGAAGAGACCTCGGGGGGAGGACGGTCCGGTGGGCAATTCGGGGCCCCCCTGCACCTGCCTGGCCTGCAGACACCCCCTACCACGCCCCTCGCCCCACGCATGGAGGTTCTGCTTCCCCACTCACTCGTCCTCCCTGTCCAGGACGTCACGGGGCACGGGAAGCAGGGACAGGAGGCAGGCTTGGTTCATGTGCTGCAGCTCACCCACCCGCTGCTGGTGCTGCGCCCCCAGCATGTGGTCCTGGAACTCCTGCGGGGGCGGGGCGGGGGCGGGTTCAGCCGGCTCCCCCTGCCTCTCAAGCCCCGCCTCCGGGCTGGTCAGCAAAGGCTTTCCTGATGGCCAGGCCTGGGGCTTGTGGAGCCCCGTCATGCAACCAGGCTGGAAAGCCCTTTCAGACCCCAACCCCCCCCCCCGCCGCCCCCACCGACCGCTGCCCCAGTCGGGGGCTGCACTACCTGCTGGCTGCTGCAGCTGGTTCTGCAGATGTAGCAGAAAAACTGCAGAGTCTGCTTGGAGGGTGTGCTGGCAGCAGTGGGCGTGGCAGAGGCAGCGTCACCAGCTCGGGGCCCGGGAGTGAGGGGCATGGTGCTGAAGGCCCGGCTGTCACTGCTCTGCAAGATGGTGACCTTCAGGGAGCCCCCGGCACCCCACACCTGCGCCAGGAGCAGAGGCAAAGCTACCACCGGCTGGGCGCGTTCAGCCCTGTCTCATCAGGCACGTCAGATGGAGAAACCGAGGGTCTGAGCCTCAACAGCTAGGAGGCACGAGGCAGGCGTCTACCAGCCCCACCCCCACACGACAGCTGGAGAAACTGAGGCACAAAGGACAGATTTAGCCACGATGACACTACGGCAGAGCTGGGGCCCACACCCACCGACTTCTACCGGGCCACCTCCACTACAACACTGAGAACCTGTGCCGGGGAACGAGGCCCTAGTTCTGGGGTGAGTAGGTCGGAAGGGACTCGTCACCGCCAGGTATTCCGAGATGGCAACACACCACGGGGAGGGACCTGAGCACACGCAATCCCCGCCTGGTGGCCCATGCCACGGGTGGGGTGCCCCATCTCAAGGTGGGGGCCCCCAGAGGGGGGGGGGCAGTGTCACTGGGGTGTGGTGCTCATGCCGCGACCTGGACAGCTCTACCCACCCCTAGCATCTCCCTCGATCTTTTTTCACATTCTCCCACATCCAGGCCACCGGCCAGCTCCTCCTGGCTCTCCACGCCTGCGGGTTCCGGCGAGGCTTCCTCCCGGCCTAAAAGGACAGATGCGCTGTTTCCCAGGTCCCGACTCCCACCTGGGCCCGCGCGCCGGGGCCTGCCGGGAGCCACCTGCCGGCCCACGCCAGGACGCCTCCAGACGGGGCTCCAGGCAGCAGCCAGGCCGGACCCACAGCGCGCAAGGAGCTCGGGCCAGCGCGGCTGTGCCATGGCCGCTGGGAGCCCGCGCCCGCTCACCTCCTGCAGCCTCTCCTGCACCAGGTGGGCTCTCAGGCGCCGCGGGAGGGACTGGCGCGGGCTCGGGCGCCACCCCCTGCGCCTGGGTCTGAGGCTGCTCCGGGGTCTGCTCCGGTGGCTTCAGGGGCACCGGCGCGGGCGCCGGCTCCAGGGGCTGCGGCGGGGCCTGTGCGTGTGTCTGGGCCTGAGGGCACGTCTGGGTCTGTGCCTGCTTCTGCAGCCTGGGCTGTGCCTGCCTCGGGGGCTGGGGGTGCGCCTGTGGCCGCGGCCCAGCCTCCTCCGGCGGCCGAGGCGGGCTGGTCTGCGTCTGCGCCTGTTTCTGCAGCCGCGGCTGCGCGCGGGCGTCCACCGGCGCCGGCTGTGGCGGGGCCTGTGCCTGCACCCGGGCCTGGGTCTGCGGGGTCTGCGGCGGGAGTGGCGGCAGCACTGGGGCGTCCGGGGGCTCAGGCAGCAGCTCGGGCGTCTGTGTCTGCTTTGGCACCGTCATCCGGGCCTGAGGCTGCGGCTGCACCTCTGCCTGCAGCTGCCTGAGGGGCCCCTTCTCTGCGGGCTCCTCGGAGCTAGGACGGATCACAAGCTGAAGTTCATGTCTCCCTGCTGGCCCCAGGGGTTGCCCAGCAAGGCCAAGACCCAGCTTCCAGGCTTTGTCCTTCCACTAGGAGATGGGCCTTGGGCACGTGCCCCTGGCTCTCCACGTCTCACTTTCGCCTAAGCAGTGAGAGGGCGGCTCACTCCCACCTCCTATTCTCCCTAAACCTGTGTCCACGACTGGTGTCCTGCCCGCCTCTGGGGTCCCAGGAGCACATGTCCACCCCTCCAGCCTGGCCCCTCGCCTGCCTGCAGGTGGCTGAGTCACAGTGAAGATACCAGGGTCTGTCTGGTCAGGGCCCTCCTGGGTGCAGAATTAGATCTGACCTTCCCCAAGCCAAAGGTCAAGGGCCTTTCCTCGTTCTGCTCCCCTAAAGGGCTTGCCCCTGCCTCCGCCCACCAGCTGCCTTTGCAGGAGTGAGCTACAGGCCGGGCAGGCTTTCAGCATCGTTACCTCTTCGATTTCTTAGCCGGGGGCTCAGAGGCCTCACAGGACTCAGGCTCGGGGGCAGGCGTGCATCTGTCCTTAGAGAAGCCATCTGGGCAGAGCTGGGAATCTTGGTCTGGAACAGAAGGCAGGCGACTGGCCTTGGACGCCATGCCGTACAGCAAGTACAGCTCTGGGCACTGGGGCCAGGGCGCCCTTCCCGTCACCAAGTCCAGCTTCGCCTCTGTCACGGCCCTGCACCCTGCAGCCCCCACCCTCATCCCCGTGAAGGGGCAGCAGCCTCCCTCCCTCACCTGGGGCATCCGTTCGGGACTCTGTAGCTTCTTCAGACCCCTCTGGGGGGTCTGACTGGTCTTCAGACACCGTCTGAGAAGAAGAATCCTGTTTCCTGTCAGAAACTGTTGACTCCACCGCCCCCCCCCCCGGGAAGCGTGGCCACAGCGGCCCCCAGCAGGTGAAGGGGCTGGCCCTGAACTGCTGAGAGGGTCCAACCAGGCCCAGAATCGTGTCTGGGGGGCTCCAGCAGCTGCCTGGCTGTGCATTTTCTAGTTTAATTATCAGCTGGAGTTGTATTTGTTTTAATGTCTCCCACCACCCCTCCCCCCCAAGAGTCCCCGCAGGGCCAGGCCCGCTGTGTCATCTGCTCCTCTGCAGGGACTGAGGTGTGTGCCAAGTGAACCTGGAGTTCCAGAGCACCCCAGGAAGCCCGGGAGCCTACCTGCAGCCTCCTGCCCTGCTACGGCCCAGCAGGAAGGTGCACACGTCAGGGCCCTGGGCCCTCCAGAAAGCGCCCGGCCTCACGTACAGGACACAGGACACGCAGTGCAGGATGGGAGGCTTGGCTGGGCTCCACCTCCACCCGCAGGCCAGCCTCGGCTTTCCCATGCGTAAGATGGGGCAGTGGGCCCCGCTCACCTAACCGCAGGGGGCAGGCCTGGCTGGTCGGGCAGAAGCTGGGACTCCTCTCTGGAGGGACTGGCCGCCGGATGTGGGCTGGCCCAGAGTGGCAGGAGAGAGGCCCTGCCTCTGCCCCAGAGAGCAGCTGGGGGCCTGGCGCATGGGGAGTGGGAGGAGGTTCGGGGACCAGACCATCCTGGGGCAGACTGTTCCCTCCGCGAGTCTCTGGAGTCTTTCTGCTGATGGCAGGGAGGGCCCTGAAGGGACGCAGAGGCCAGAGTGCAGGCCCCTGCAGAGGCCAGATGGCCAGAGGTCAGAGCTCCTAACATTGCTTGACCCCAACAACCTTCCTCTGACTTCTGTGTATGTCGCTCACTTAGACTGCCTTTACATTTCCGGGTGTGACAGACGGCCTCCTTGTTAAATAAGCGGAACTGGGAAGCTAGTTTATGGAAGACGGCCCTGTAGTCACCAGGCACACCCCACAGCGTCCGGGCACTTCAGAGTGGCCAGTTATCCAGGGGGCGAGTAAACGCCCGCACGTGATGAGAAAGAGCCCTGTTCGTTTTTAAATATGGAGTTACATCAAATGTCAGTAAAACTAACTTCACCTGTTTCCTTGTACTGCGCTAATGCCGTGACTGTACAGCCTAATTATACTTACAGCTCTCATTTTGCTCTCATCAGACAGCTCTGTGCGGTGAAGCTCAGAGCCACAGTGGACTGGGGCAAAAAATCTCGGCAGGAGGGCAGGGGGATTTGTAGGCGGGGAGGCATGACACACCAAACCCAACTCACCCCTCTTGCTTTGCAAGTGAAGAAACTGAGGCACAAAGAGGGGTGTGACCTGACCAGAGACACCCCCTCCACCACCAGCTCTACCCTAGACGCCACTCACCTTGCGTTTTGGGGTGGTAGAGGCGGGGATCCTGGCTTGTTTCTGGGGGGTCCTCCCTGAAAGGTTGATCTGGGTGGGGTTTATGGGGACACTGACAGGAGGGGGTCCCAGTAGAGACTGCCGAGTGGCCTGGGGAAAGAACTGTTGTAGATGTGGGGTGGTCAGCTGGGGGGGTGTGAGGCTGGGGGTGGTGAGGGTCGGGGTTGCCAGGTTGTAGCCACGGAGGTTACCTGTGGGCAAGAAGGAGAGGATGGGTCACTCTTGGGTTGAGTGGTAGAGGCTAGGGTCAGGGGTCAGTCCCAGCGCCTCATGGGAACTGCACAAATATCATCCAAGGGAAGCCGGAGTCAAGGCTCAGCCTCTCCCACGACACATTGGCCGGGAGGCAGCTTCCTGGGGACAGGGCGTGGCTCTTCCCTCTTCAGATTCCTACCTGGTCAGTAGCTTGAGCACCCCAGTAAGTGCCCCCCTCCCCTGAGGGTACAGCAAAGGTACAGGTATAATCCCCCCAGGAAAGGCAGCAAGATAAGCCGCTCCCCTCCCCCCCAGCTGCCCTTCATCACGGCTACCCAGGGAGTATCTTCTCTTAGGCCTCTTCTGATGACAAGCCAGCTACACAGAGGACTCTGGACCCTAGACAGGACTGGGGGGGCCTGACTCCCCTTGCTTTACTTTACCTCAAGTCATCCCCAAACCCTATCAACCCTGTCTCCTGCCCTCTGACCATTCCAGTCTGACCCCCCTTTTCCATCCCCTCTTCTGCTCCCCACCCTTGCTTTCACAGCTCCCCTCTGCTCGCTGCTCAGAAACTAAACACCCTCCTCCCCCTCCTTTCTTGCCATGCCCCTCCCCCACCTTTGCTTCTCCAGTCACCTGCTTCTGTGAATTGTTCAAACAAGCCTAGTTTCTGCCTCTGGGCCTTTGCACATGCTGTTATTCCTGCCTGGGCTGTTCTGCCTCCCACTAATTCTGCCTCCAAATCATCCTTCAGTCCTCCTTTTACTGTGATTCTCCTTCCAGACCCCTCTGTGACCTCGGTGGCCCCAGCTTCCTGCCCTAGCCAAGCTGCAGTTTTCTTGTCCACTGCTCACTGCCCACTGCTCCACTGCCAACTCCTTAAGGGCAGGTACCAGCTCTTGCCAAGTGTTTGAGCTATGAAACAGTTCAATTCCCTGCTCCAATGGTGGAATGGGAAGCCCAGGGGTTAAGGCAGGGAACAGGCGTCAAAGCCAGACCCAACAGGACAAGCCTGTGGCCTGGAACAAATCAGTCCCCACTTCTTAGTCTCAGCTCACACATCTGTAAAACAGGCATCATAGTGCTTGTTTTATGCGGCTTCAGTGAGACACTGAAGTATGCCTGGTACATAGTAGATATTCGATTAACATTAATGTAAGTAAATACATTAATATGGGCAGAGAGCTTGCCAGCCAGCTCTTAAAGACAATGAGGCAAGGCCCTTCTGGGTGGCGCAGCGGGTTAGAGTGCAGCACTAAGAAGCAAAAGCCACATCAGCATGAGTTTGATCCCCGCCCCAGAGGTGACCCACATGGCGCGGCAGACCTCTCCTGACCCGCCTGCTGCTCCCCTCAGCAGTGTACTTCGTCAATCTGCCTGTTCTGCTCCCCACTCTGCCTCTGGTGAACCCTCTCACCGCTCTGCATCTCTGGCCCGTACCCCAGTTCTGTATGCATAAATAAATCTTTAAAAAAAAGAAAACAGTAAGGCAAAAGATGGCACACTCTAAAAGAAAAATGGACAAAGGACATGGACAAGTCACACACAAAAAAAGCGCCAAAAAACAAATGCTTAACAGACAAATACAAAATGTCCACTTGCACTGGCACTCAAGAAACATAAGTTATAAACTATAACATGGATGAGACAGATTTTATGCCAACCAAATTAGTAAATTACATGTATATGTAAACATATATATTTAAAAAGCATAGAATACCCAATGTTGCTGGGGGCATGGTGAGACCCGCACCATCATACGCGGCTGGTGGCATTGCAAACTGGTCCAGTCCTTTGGGAAAGTAAGTTGGCAAATATTTATCGAGAGCCGTAAAACATTCATTCCCCCCCGACCCAGTCACTCTATTTTTGGGAATAAGTGACCATAAAGTAGTCTCAAACACGATGTCCACCCCCCGTGTTAAAACAGTACAAAAAAAAAAAAAAAGAAAGAAAGAAAAAGGAATCACAGAAAGTCCAGGTAGGCAAAGCGCGCACCCTTCGACAGGATCTTAAACAGCTGTTAAAAATAAACTTTCCAGAGGGGCCTCCTTGGTGGTGCAGCAGGTTAAAGCGCAGCACTGAGAAGCTAAAGCCACTTCAGCATGAGTTCGATCCCCGCCTGCCCCGGAGGAGATCCACATGGCGCGGCAGACCTCTCCTGACCCGCCCGCAGCTCCCCTCGGCAGTGAACCTTGTCCATCTGCCTGTTCTGATCCCCACCCTGTGTCTGGTGAATCCTCTCACCACCCCACGCCTCTGGCCTGTACCCCACACCTCTGGCCTGTACCCCAGCCCTTGTATGCAGTGAGAAAAAAAAAATTACAGGGACTCTCAAGTCATACTGTAAATCACCAGGCCCTTCAAGTCTGCATGGTAGCAAAGAAACAGGACACAGCCTTTTGTTATGCCAATAACCAGGATCGGTGCTAAGAACAAACGGGAGGAAATACACAGAAACCTTGGCTGGCAGACTTTTGGCTTCAGTGGGGAACACAAGCCTCTGAGGGTGAGCTGGGTCTTCTTATCCTCTTTACATTGTTTTCCCTCACTTTTGTATAAAAGAGAAAATGCAGGTGCACATGTGTGGGTCCCCGTATGGGTTTATTCCTCTGTCATTTGCCTGGCAGGATGGAAGGCTGACAGCTGTCACCTCGTGACCCAGCTGCAAATCTGCCAGAGGCAGGCAGCCTAGGGTCCAGGGACACAGCTCTGGAGAGTGCTTGTAACGCTCCCACAAACCCACCCTGCTCTGCATGACCCTGAACACGCATCCCTCTCTTGGGTTCTCAGCTTCTTCATCCGTACAAACAGACCGTGAGAGTGTCCTGCTTTGTGTTTGTCAGCAGAGACAAGGACTGAGGTCTATAAAGGCCTCCGCACAGGGCCCAGTCCCGAGGGCATACCCAGCGTCACAGCGACCCAAGCAGGAACGGGTCCCCTCCACGTCTCCAAAATGACTCGGTCTCTGGGCCCCTGGGACTGAGTGAGGTACCGGAGCAGCATTTTGGAAGAAAGAGCTGAGACTGCTCTCCGTATGGGGAACTGAGACCATGGAACAGGCAGAGAGCCTGAGGCGCCCATGTTGACTTCCAGGGGGTCAGGAGTCCCAGGCACTGGGGGTGCGGTGTGGCCCAGGACAAACGGCTTCCCTTCCCTGGGCCTCAGTTCTCATCTATCAAATGGCACGTACATGGGAGATCAAAATGGATCTGGCCAGTCTTCAACTTACTAATCTGAATGTGAGGAAAGTGTGCTGATGACCACCCTCCCCTTGGCCCCGGGCACAAACCAGACAGACCCGGGGAAGCTGGTATCCCAGACTCCCACCTCCTGGCACCTCAGACCCTGCACCTGTACACGGGGCATGGGGAGTAGCTCCCTGGCAGGGCTACTGTGTGGGCCTGATGGCAGACCGTGCAGGGGCTGCTGGGAGTGACCACCCAAATGCGAGGGCCGGCCGCCGTACCTTGCAACTGCTGCAGAAACAAAGCTCTCTGCAGCGCATTGCCGCTGAGGAGGGAGGCCGAGTTGACGCCCTGGAGATTCAGAAGCTGCTGCTGGGGGAGCCCCCTGTGTGTTGGGTGGGGGGGGGGTGTCAGGAGGTTATTGTGAAAGTCAGGCCTCCCTCTGCCCTGACACAGCTCACTTCCCTTCTTTGCGCCTCCCACCCCCCCCCCCAAAGCAGAGAGAGGATTCCGGCAGGGTGGGAAATGATGGGCTCCTGGGGTGCCCCTGGGATGCCATCCAGATTGGGTGGACTGGACAAGGGCAAGCAGACATGCATGAGGGGCAGGGCAGGAGCCAGCCAGCCCTCTGGGGGCACTCACCGGCTGACGGCCATGGGCAGCGGGGCCTGCGGTGGGGACTGCTGGAGCAGCTGCTGGAGCTGCAGCAATTGCTGTTGCTGCAACTGCTGCTGTTGCAGCTGCTGCTGCTGAAGCTGCTGCTGTTGCAGCTGCTGCTGCTGCAGCTGCTGAAGCTGCTGCTGCTGGAACTGCTGCTGCTGGTTGAACATGGTGGCTGTGAGCAGAGCAGAAGGGCAGGGTCCGCGTCAGAGGTCAACCCAGCTCCCCTGCCCTCCATGACCACTCGCAGGAAGCTCCAGCCCCCCCTACTGCTCATTGGGCCCCTCCTTTGCACTCCCAGTCCTGCAAGACCATTGCACCCTTCCCTTTCAACACACCCCACTTCTGCCACCGCCCTCCCGCCAATTCCCAACTTTCCCCCAATCCTGCCAACTGTCCCTCCTTCAAATGTCCAACTTCGCGGTCCATCTCTCCCACTCAGAGGCTCCATTCCTCCAGGACCAGCGCCAAACTCAAATACACCTCCCCGCCCCCAAGCTTTCTCTGCTCCAATCACAGCCCTACAGCAGGGCCGCCTCGCTCACACCCCACTTTGATTCCCGCACCCTCTCCCTCGCGTCTGTTAGTGTGGATAACACAGCACACACAAACACCGCGGGCGCCTTCCGCTTTCACCTGTCAATCAGGTAGGCGGAGGGTTTCCCTCACCTCTTAAGCGGCGGCCCCCCCATTCCCCCCTTCCGCTAACCCCTTCCTGGGCAGACACAACAGGTCGGTGACCCCACCTGCCCGCGAAGCCCGCAGCCTCCATTCAAGGGGCCCCTCCGCCTTCCGTGGGTCCCCGCAGCTGTCCTCGGCCCTCGCCCCTGGCCTGCGGGCGCGGCGTTGGCGCGGGAACGGCCCGGCGTCCTCCCCGCACCCCTCGGCAATCGCTCG